TTTGTCGAAGCGGTCCAATAAAACTGTAGTATTGTCCAGTGATCTTTCTTCCTTTTTCTAAAAAATCCACGAGGATGACGCCGTTCACATCCCAAAAAATCGTCTCCCTGACCTTTCCGGTCGATGAGACCGTCTTCGCCTTCTTTTGGAGCAGATTTACCGGGAGAAATCCATTGTTTAGAAACTTTGGAGGACAGAACAAAAACTCAAGGTATTTTTGATGGAGTGTTCTTTTTACAGCTTGGAGGAATTCTTTTCATCCTAGACTCATGACATTTTGACATTTATTTGTTTTCTAAACTGCGGATGCTTTTGTCTCGCCAGTTTGTCTCACCTTTGACTTGTCATAGTGCCTGCTACTATTTAACAGGGAAATAAATGGATTATTATTATTTTCGATGCTGCACGAAACTGACGGCTGGAATCGAGAAATGCTTTTATTAGAATTTCCATGGCCATATTCCAATAGGATTTCATTATTGTCTGGTCGCTAAATGAAACCACATATAAATTAGTAATATCCTACGTTGTTCAATGGCGAGTAATGCCAGAATCGGTGACATCCAGTGCTGTCTTCACTCTTGCAGTTGTCGATTCTGGTAATAGATGTCACTATGTGCTGTCTTATTTCGAAACCACATATATTTGAATCATTACTGACTTTTTCAAAGTAATGGGTGATTTTTTTGCTAGTATCTTTTTGGCAACACTGTTTTTGACAGATGACGCGTGAATCGTGTCTTGTGTCATTGTCAAACTTGTTCAGTTTGGTCTATAATTTAACCATGAATCGACTTACGAACGAACAACGCTTGCAAATTATTGAATTTTACTATCAAAATTCATGCTCGGTTAAGAGAGTGCCTCGAGCACTGCTTCCAATTTATGGGCAATTTGGTCGGCCTACTGAGGGAGCTATTCGGAAGCTTGTGACTAAATTTCGAACCCAGTTTACATTATTGGACATTAAACCACCAACACGCAGACGTAGAGTGAGGAGTGAAGAAAATATTGCGGCTGTATCCGCCAGTGTTAGCGATGACCGTGAAATGTCGATTCGCCGCCGTTCGCAGCAATTGGGCCTCTGTTACTCCACTACGTGGACAATTTTGCGACAGGATTTGGGTGTAAAACCTTATAAGATACAGCTGGTGCAAGAATTGAAGCCACACGACCTGCCACAACGTTTCCCATTTGGTGAATGGGCGCTGGCAAAGTTGGAAGAATATCCACATTTTATCGAAAAATTGTGTTCAGCGACGAAGCTCATTTCTGGTTGAATGGGTACGTTAACAAGCAAAAGTGCTGCATATGGAGTGAAGACCAGCCAAAAGCACTGCAAGAGCTACCAATGCATCCCGAAAAAATCACTGTTTGGTGTGGATTATCGGCCGGTGGCATCATCGGGCCGTACTTCTTCAAAGACGACAATGGCCCGAACGTAACTGTGAATGGTGAGCGCTACCGTGCGATGATAACAAACTTTTTTTTGCCCAAAATAGAAGAGCTGGACTTGGCTGACATGTGGTTTCAACAAGACGGTGCCACATGCCACACCGCACACGAAACAATGGCCCTATTGAGAGGCGAGTTCGGTGAACAGTTATCTCACGTTTGGGGCCCGTCAATTGGCCGCCTAGATTGTGTGATTTAACGGCCGTTGGACTATTTCTTGTGGGGCCATGTTAAGGATAATATCTACAGGGATAAACCAGCAACGATTGACGCTCTGGAAGCCAATATTGAAGCATCTATTCGTGAGATACCGGCCGATATGTTGGAGATAGTGTGCCAAAATTGGACCTTGCGCATGGGCCATCTAAAGCGGAGCCGCGGCCAACATTTACATGAAATAATCTTTAAACATTAATCGTTTTTTCAATTTTTTTGTATTTTTTTTTGAAAATCAAATCCTATACCTCTTAAAAATCACCCATTACAAATGACAATTACAGTGTATTTTACTTTCTTATTTTATATTTCTCCGATATCACTGGTTCAAGTCACCCTATCTATTTCTGTACCAAAGGTATGCGATGAGGTTGAAAGAAGTGTGAACAAAACAAAAAACACCGCTTAACTACAACCTACAACATTTATGGGCTGTAAAATTTTTACGATTTTTTTATTCGACTCGTTGTGAATCTTACTTCCAGAGCAGAGCCGCCTCATATTTCAATGTTCTATAAATAGGTGGGTAGCTATCAGACAGGGCTACATTAACATAGTATTTTATCTTGATGTGTGACACTTATGGTAAAAAATGTAACAAATACAAAAGAAATAATTATGTTAATTTGTACATGTAAATGTAAAAAAACACTGATACAGTTAATATGACAGAATTTACTCTAAAAGAATCTATACTAAGTGACATATAAATCCGAACACCCAGTTTAAATGGTTTTATTTTAATAAAAGTTGGTGAATGTATTTATCTTACGTTTTTTATACTGCTTTTTTTTAATTCACTAATGCTCTAAAAATGAATATTTCAGCCGCAGTAAAGAATCAACGTTGGCGGATTTTGGTTCTTGACATCCTTTACGATCGGTTACGATGCCTAGAGTATGGAGACCTGTACGATTTCGTCAACTTAGTGAGTTTGATAGGGGCCGTATATTGGGACTTCGGGAAGCTGGACTTTCTTTTCGGGCAATTGCAGTTAAAGTGCAAAGAAGTGTAAACACTGTGGTTAGGTGTTGTCAGGCATGGCTTCGAGAAGGCCGTACGCAAAGAGCAAGTGGCACTGGACGCCGCCGTAGAACAACAGACCGTGAAGATCGCCGCCTAAGATTATTGGCATTAAGGGACCGTTTCTCCACTACCAGGTCCATTGCAAATGAATGGTTTGCAGAACACGGAAGACCTATTGGCATGCGAAGTGTTTACCGACGAATGAGAAGTTTTGGCTTGTTTTCATACCGGCCACACTGGGTCCTCCCTTTAACTCGAGAACACCGACGTAATCGCCTTGAGTGGTGCAGACAACGGTCACTCTGGGATCAGGAATGGAACAGTATTGTCTTTAGTGACGAGTCTCGATTTTGTTTAGGCATGCACGATGGTCGTGCCAGGGTTACAAGGCGACGTGGTGAAAGGAGGAATCCACAGTTTTTAGTTGAAAGACATGTTCATCACACTGTTGGAGTTATGGTTTGGGGTGCTATAGCTTATGGTTCCAGGTCACCTTTAATCTTCATCAGAGGTACATGAATGCGCAGCGTTATATCCACGAAGTTCTAGAACCCCATTTTTTTTCCCTATCTTGACACCCTGGCAGATCCAACTTTCCAACAAGATAATGCCCGACCGCATGTTGCAAGAGTCACAATAGACTTCTTTCAACATAATGATGTCACATTGTTACCATGGCCACCAAGATCTCCCGACTCATCCCCAATTGAGCACGTGTGGGATATGATGGGTAGGAGATTGCTCAATTTGCAACGTCCTCCTCAGACTCTAGAAGCACTTCGAGAGGAGTTGGTGGTTGTCTGGAATGAGATACCACAGGAGGACATTGACTACCTGATCAGAAGCATGCCTAGGCGCGTTGGAGAATGCGTAGCACATCAGGGTGCATCCACACATTATTACAGGTCAAAGGGCTTTAAAGCAGTGCAATCATTTTGAAATTTTTATCATTTACTTATTATGCTTCATTAAGTACTTATACAAAATTTTATTAAAATAAAACCATTTAAACTGTGTGTTCGGATTTATATGTCACTTAGTATATTTGACAATAATCAAAGTGCAGTTTTGAAGACCAATTGATATAAATCATAAATGATAACGATGTTAAGGTTGATCTGACATAGCTTGGTATTGAAGTGACAATTAAAAAATTAATTCGGGAGTATCGATCACGAATCTGATGACAATTTCGTGTTCGATTTGAAGGTCAATTTTTTTACTCGCAATGTATCTTTGCGAAACTTTAAGCTTCATTGACCGCCATATGCGAAAAAGCATCTCAAATCATCCCAGTGTACGGAGGTACATCAGACGATAGTCCACATTTTACACTGAGAAATTAACTTTAGGAAAGTTTAAAAGCATTTATTGAAAAAAAAAACGTACGTTTGGGTCCGAACGTTTCAAATCTGGCGTTCTTCAGTGGGAATGACGCTAGGTCCAGATTAACCATGAAAAAATTGAGTTAATCGAATCATTTAAATAGTTAGGCATATACGTAGATAGTAAATTGAAGTTTGAAGGGGACTATGAATATATTATTTCAAAAATATCCAGAAAGATAAATAACTTTTGCACCCTAAGCGTTTATTCTAAAAAGATTGTGTTTTACGCAATTTTTTGTGAATTGTATTTTCGAAATTGCCAATATTACAAAATAAATCATCTTAAATTCAAATGAATATACTAGAATAAATTTTATGCTGAAATGTCTTTTAAGTTTTGCATATAGAAACATAGTAGGCCGCGCGAATCGAACGTCAGTACTGAATCTTAACCTCACTCTTTAGTAAACTTAAATTCAAAGCTTCACAGCAATACGTGCAGTGCTCTCACTATAGTGAATTTTTAAGTGTCACCAAGTCATTAGAAAAAGGTAACTCAACCGAGAAAATGTTAGCGGCATAATTTATTACAACTTTTAGAGACAATTATCGCAACAAGAATACCTTGCTGAGTTACTGTCTGTTTTCGGCAACGAAGCGCCACATCAGTCGACAATTTTCCGTTGGTATTGAAAATTCAAACGTGGACGGCAGTCACCCAGGAAAACGTCGATGCTGTGCGCAAACTCATCATTGAAGATAGATAGAAATCAGTATTTCAAAAAGGATTGTATGAATTTAACAAATCAAGTAATGATATCTAGTTGTGTGCCAGTTTGAAAATGTTTAAAGGTAAATTAACAAGATATTCCATGGAAAACTAGATTCATAGTAGTGAAATTTTGTATAAAAATATGTAGTCTCACCTTGATAAGTCCAAACTGTCCAAGATGGTAACCGTGGTCACTAGTGTACACGATGTAGGTGTTTTCAAGTTCCCCCAGGTCCCTCAGCTCGTTTACGACCCTTTCCACGGCAGCATCTACAGATTGGAGCGTCTGCAATCTCTTGGTCATCAGTAGGTTGGTGAATTGTCGATGTATGGGTTCCATGTTTCTTGTAACTTGGAGGATCCATTGCTTGTCTGGGTTCGGCGCGTGGTCATATGATGGGGTACTGAAATGAAAAAGAGAAAGATAAAATAAGAGTATGACAAAAGTTAAACAATAGATAGGAGAAGTGGTCATCGGAAGTTTCAGTGGATTTTTCTTGACCGTTTTTTGTTTTTGACTTCCTACAAATATCGCTATTCATCATTGTTGGATATACAGGGTGTTCCTTAATGATATGCGAATATTTAAGGGTGTGAATCATGGAAAAACCGCCTCAGATATTTCACTGATATTTAGTACGTAGTGAAAGTTAATAAAGATGCATAATTTTCAATGAAAAAATAATTTTTAGGTTTAACAGTGGCGTGCGTACGGGTATTGACTTCGATATTTTTAAGAAAAAATGGTACGCCAATGTTTTTTTGTCAAATAAAAATTATTTTTGAATTCCCCGTTCAATTTAAAACAAATGATCTCTCTTGAATTGTTTCCCTTCGATGCGCCATTTTTGAGTAAAAAAATTAAAACCGGTCTATTGTCTAACTTGCCAAATTATTATTAATTTAATTAAAAAAATTAAACACATTAGGGGTAATAAACAACAACAACTGATAACATCAACATAACGAAATGATAACAAAAATTGTTGAAAATAGCCCCCTTCACTTAGTATGCATGCTTCCGCCCTCCTTCTCATGGAATTGCGCACTCGTTGAAATATCCCTGGAGTGTTTTTTATTCTATCATAAGCTGCAACTATTATCTCACTTAATTCCTCTACAGTGTTAATGGGACTTGTGTACACTAGTGTCTTAAGATAGCCCCACAAAAAGAAATCTAAACTGTTGAGGTCTGGGGACCTTGGTGGCCATTCTTGGGGCCCACCCAATGAACTGTCAACACTGATGGAACAGTCGTAACGCGAATTCATTGCGGCTAGAATGAGAAACGAGAAGGATAGCGCTAGTCAGGGCAAAACATTGGCAAAACATCGTGGTCCATTGTGGTATTTCCATATATACTAAGTGACATAAATCCGAACACCCAGTTTAAATGGTTTTATTTTAATAAAAGTGAAAAAAATTTCAGCCTTATCAGTTGGACATTCCGGTTTTTATACTGCTTTTTTTTAATTCACTAACGCTCTAAAAATGAATATTTCAGTCGCAGTAAAGAATCAACGTTGGCGGATTTTGGTTCTTGACATCCTTTACGATCGGTTACGATGCCTAGAGTACGGAGACCTGTACGATTTCGTCAACTTAGTGAGATTGATAGGGGCCGTATAGTGGGACTTCGGGAAGCTGGACTTTCTTTTCGGGCAATTGCAGTTAGAGTGCAAAGAAGTGTAGACACTGTGGTTAGGTGTTGTCAGGCATGGCTTCGAGAAGGCCGTACGCAATGAGCAAGGGGCACTGGACGCCGCCGTAGAACAACAGACGGTGAAGATCGCCGCCTAAGATTATTGGCCTTAAGGGACCGTTTCCCCACTACCAGGTCCATTGCAAATGAATGGTTTGCAGAACACGGAAGACCTATTGGCATGCGAAGTGTTTACCGACGAATGAGAAGTTTTGGCTTGTTTTCATACCGGCCACACTGGGTCCTCCCTTTAACTCGAGAACACCGACGTAATCGCCTTGAGTGGTGCAGACAACGGTCACTCTGGGATCAGGAATGGAACAGTATTGTCTTTAGTGACGAGTCTCGATTTTGTTTAGGCATGCACGATGGTCGTGCCAGGGTTAGAAGGCGACGTGGTGAAAGGAGGAATCCACAGTTTTTTGTTGAAAGACATGTTCATCACACTGTTGGAGTTATGGTTTGGGGTGCTATAGCTTATGGTTCCAGGTCACCTTTAATCATCAAATCATCATCAGAGGTAACATGAACGCGCAGCGTTATATCCACGAAGTTCTAGAACCCCATCTTTTACCCTATCTTGACACCCTGGCAGATCCAACTCTACAACAAGATAATGCCCGACCACATGTTGCAAGAGTCACAATAAACTTCTTTCAACATAATGATGGCACATTGTTACCATGGCCACCAAGATATCCCGACGTATCCCCAATTGAGCACGTGTGGGATATGATGGGTAGGAGATTGCTCAATTTGCAACGTCCTCCTCAGACTCTAGAAGCACTTCGAGAGGAGTTGGTGGTTGCCTGGAATGAGATACCACAGGAGGACATTGACCACCTGATCAGAAGCATGCCTAGGCGCGTTGGAGAATGCGTAGCACATCAGGCTGCATCCACACATTATTAAAGGTCAAAGGGCTTTAAAGCAGTGCAATCATTTTGAAATTTTTATCATTTACTTATTATGCTTCATTAAGGACTTATACAAAATTTTATTAAAATAAAACCATTTAAACTGGGTGTTCGGATTTATATGTCACTTAGTATAAGTACATTGCTGGACCTGAATCATGCAAATTGTGCCCCCTCCACCCCGCTCTTCAATTTTCAGTCGCCCATACAACCCCTTTCCTCGAGACGGATACTGCCTGCGAACATCACTCCTACCACCCCCCACCCAAACCAATTCCTAAGTCCGCCACTGGTTGCTGTGTTGCTGGGAATAGTCGATCTGTTTTCGGTAGATTCGTGCGAAATGTTTCGGCAGATTTTGAGTAGACATTAAATGAAGGGTATAGGGAAAAAAAGATGAATGTTACAGCCGTTGTATGAAAAAAAGATGAACGTCCACTGATCGTCACCAAAACTAAAGGGTGGGCGGTGGTCCATCAGTTGTTTTTTTAAGTTGGTATTATTTTGACAGTTGGTAACACTTCCATGCTCAACATATTGACAGATATATTGTGTCAAACTTCCGCTGTGAGCAACGGATCGTTTTAATCTTGAACAATGGTGGGAAATATTGGAAAAATATTTTCAAAGTGAGTGGCTGCGTTGCAGAAACTTTGCGAAAATTGTGATATTAATCTTTTTCTCCCTTCAAATCAAAAAGCATAAACTTGCTGAATATTAAAAATTGAGAAGGGGGCTCCTCTTGGTTTTGAAATTTGAAGAGAGAAAATGCTGATCTATTCTAGAGTTTTGCTAAATATACTGTTTGAGAATTTGAGAAAATGTTCGGTAGATTTTGCATTAAAATCTGTAATTCGATAGAATAGGGCTAAAATCCAAAAATGCAAGAGGTTTATAGGAAAAACACACGGTAGGTGATGTTGAATCAGTAAAATCGCATATCAATAATTGAAGAAAATAATATAATCATGAATAAACAATCGGCAATATTAAATAAAACATGAATTTTATTCAAAAATCAAACACTTTTTTAAATATTGACTAAATTATATGTAATTTCTTAATATTAAATGAGCTGGTGATGTTTCAATGACAAGCTGTCAGCTCATACTTTGACAGTATTTTGTTTTCAACATTTCATAGCTATTGGTTGCTAAAATTTTTAGATTGAAGCTCATTCGCTGTATTTGACGGACTGTTACCTATAGGTGGAGAATAACGGACTGTTGATTTGACAATCCTGGTGAAATCCACCCTTAGTTACACAATGTATAACAACAAACATTTAATGACAATGAAATTACCTACCACTTGACGAAATTGTTGCAAAGGTTAAAAAGTTATTTAAAATTTAATTTGAACAAAATTTTGTACGTCCGGTTAATTTTGCGTGGCAACAGTTTCCTGAAGAAAATCGTCGGATTCAAGATATCCGCCAGAACGTTAAATCCAATGAGGACGCAATTGACTCGTCAAAGTTCGGATCGATGTCCAAGTGGAGTCCAACCGCACGTAAAACGTTATTTGATTTACAGCCGAATCGCGGAGAACGTGGATGTCTGTCCAGTCTCTCGAGAGCTCCGGACAAGACGTTTCGGCCGTAATGGCGCGGAAAAAAGACCGACGTATGTCTTAGGGATTTAGTTTGACGGCCCCTTGGTCGGCTACAGCTATTATTTCGTTCGTTTAGAAGCATCGTTGCGACCGAAATAGCGGAAGAAATTTGACAAGTGAACCGATCAAGTGGTTTCGAACGAAGTTGTCTAATAGGTGAATCAATCCCAGACGGTGGCGTATAGTACAGGGTCCGTCAGAAAGGAAGCATGTTTTTCGGATAGGTACTATACTCTGGGCGCTGAAGAAAGACATTAAACGTAAACAGTGATCAGCACGTGAACAGATCCCTCGAAAGCATCCACGGATATACTCCAGTCACTTTAGGTCTAAACATCCTCGGCAGTGTATTTCTAGTGAATCCACAGACCCTTTTTCGTGTCATCTTGAGACTAGAAAAAGGATGACTGTTAAAATAAGTTACCTTGATCTTTCATGAGCTCCCAGTACAAAACATCATCGATATATTTTTGATGTAGGAACAACAAATTGGTTTAGAAAACATCCACTTTGAACCTAAATTGACTGGAGTAACATCGATCTACAGACAAATTCAAGGTCACTAGCAGTCGTCGGCGCTCTACGAATCTGCACAGGTTGGACTTGTAAACGTGATTGTAGATGACACGACAGGCATCTAACAGTTAATTCACGCACAGGATTGCATTGCATACGCATTACGCAGTCAGTAGCGTATACTCGTTTTTCGCGAGTGGAACGTTTTGTTTATATATTGCCTAAGATACGATGTCTGACACAGATACAGCCGACGAAGTGGTTGACATCAGCGCAACCCCACCCAAAAAAAGGGCTAAGAAGCTACATTTAAGTGCAAATGAAAAACAAATAATATTAAATATATACAAAAACCAAATTCAAGAAAAACCCGATTTGGTCGTGGACGAAGTTATATGTAAGGTAGCACATATTTCTGGAGTATGTCGGTCCAGTGTTTATAGGATCATTAAGGAATATAGGAGCACTCACTCACTTTCTGAGCCAAAACCGTATCCTGCAAGAAAAAGGATAACGGACGGAGTAGATGACTTTGACAGAACTGCCATCAGGAGGAAAGTGCATAATTTTTTCTTCCGAAATGAGATACCTACAGTAGATAAGATTTTAAGATTAGTTAATGCTGATGAGGATCTTCCATCATTTAAAAGAACCA